TCCAACATTTGTGGTTTCCTGCCTTGTTAATTTTCCCCATTCTCACTGGTGTGAGGTGGTATCTCATTGTGGTTTTGATTTGTATTTCCCTGATGGCAAGTGATGCAGAGCATTTTCTCATGTGCGTGTTGGCCATGTCTATGTCTTCCTCTGTGAGATTTCTCTTCATGTCTTTTGCCCATTTCATGACTGGATTGTTTGTTTCTTTGGTGTTGAGTTTAATAAGTTCTTTATAGATCTTGGAAACTAGCCCTTTATCTGATGGGTCATTTGCAAATATCTTCTCCCATTCTGTAGGTTGTCTTTTAGTTTTGTTGACTGTATCCTTTGCTGTGCAAAAGCTTCTTATCTTGATGAAGTCCCAATAGTTCATTTTTGCTTTTGTTTCTTTTGCCTTCATGGATGTATCTTGCAAGAAGTTACTGTGGCCAAGTTCAAAAAGGGTGTTGCCTGTGTTCTCCTCTAGGATTTTGATGGAATCTTGTCTCACATTTAGATCCTTCATCCATTTTGAGTTTATCTTTGTGTATGGTGCAAGAGAGTGGTCTAGTTTCATTCTTCTGCATGTGGATGTCCAATTTTCCCAGCACCATTTATTGAAGAGACTGTCTTTCTTCCAGTGGATCGTCTTTCCTCCTTTATCGAATATTAGTTGACCATAAAGTTCAGGGTCCACTTCTGGGTTCTCTATTCTGTTCCATTGATCTATGTGTCTGTTTTTGTGCCAGTACCACACTGTCTTGATGACCACAGCTTTGTAGTACAACCTGAAATCTGGCATTGTGATGCCCCCAGCTATGGTTTTCTTTTTTAAAATTCCCCTGGCTATTCGGGGTCTTTTCTGATTCCACACAAATCTTAAAATAATTTGTTCTAAGTCTCTGAAGAAAGTCCATGGTATTTTGATCGGGATTGCATTAAACATGTAAATTGCCCTGGGTAACATTGACATTTTCACAATATTAATTCTGCCAATCCATGAGCATGGAATATTTTTCCATCTCTTTGTGTCTTCAGTTTCTTTCAGAAGTGTTCTATAGTTTTTAGGGCATAGATCTTTTACCTCTTTGGTTAGGTTTATTTCTAGGGATCTTATGCTTTTGGGTGCAATCGTAAATGGGATTGACTCCTTAATTTCTCTTTCTTCAGTCTCATTGTTAGTGTATAGAAATGCCACTGATTTCTGGGCATTTATTTTGTATCCTGCCACGCTACCAAATTGCTGTATGAGTTCTAGCAATCTTGGGGTGGAGGCTTTTGGGTTTTCTATGTAGAGTATCATGTCATTGGTGAAGAGGAAGAGTTTGACTTCTTCTTTGCCAATTTGAATGCCTTTAATGTCTTTTTGTTGTCTGATTGCTGAGGCTAGGACTTCCAGTACTATGTTGAATAGCAGTGGACATCCCTGTCTTGTTCCTGATCTTAGGGGAAAGGCTCCCAGTGCTTCCCCATTGAGAATGATATTTGCTGTGGGCTTTTCCTAGGTGGCTTTTAAGATGTTGAGGAATGTTCCCTCTATCCCTACACTCTTTTAAGAGTTTTGATCAGGAATGGATCAAATGCTCTCTCTGCCTGGAGGGATTTTTAAAGGGTACAGGATCCTGTCCAGCCTGGGTACTCACAGTGCCCTTTTTTGATCAACACTGCTAAAGAGAAGTCAAACTATAAGCATGCCATGAAGGCAAATCTGTCATATGAGCAATCGCTTGTAAATTGGGTACTCCGTGGTGTTGCGCTTCAGTGACAGATGCTCACCATCTGTCTTTCAGCTGCACCCATGCTGCCGTCTTACTCTCATATTCCCAGATCCAGTCCCACAGCAGTAACACTAACACTTGTACGCCACTTCACAGCTTATAAAAGCACTGATGACATCATTTTGTCCTTGCCCAAGTCTGGTAAGGAAGGCAGTCAGCCATAAGAACATCCAGCAGTAGGTGGTCGGAAGGCTGGTTGGCAATGGCAGCACTTCCATTAGATCACTAGTGTGGGATACTGCTTGCTGCTAGCGGGTGCAGGGATGCACCCTGTCATGCCCAGCTTTAAGAAATGGACTAAGATGAATATAAACCTGAGACGCCAGAGTGCTACTTATATTAGTTCATGAGAAATTTCCACTCAAGGACTAGGATTTACGAATGCCATGGTTTGGTACATTCCATCCCATTAAGACAATGGTTCCAACTTTTTCTGTATCCACACCTCAACAGAATCTCACTGGTACAGGAACACTTACCCAAGACATAATCAGGTGGCTCTGCCAGTTTAAAATCCCAACAAGAACACCAGAGAAACTGTTTAAGGGACCAGAAGAATCTTAGAGCAGATTACAGGTCAATGGGCTCTGAATACCTGAAGATTAGAGGTTATAAATCCCTGCATCCGCCTCCAAACTGAAACAAAAATGCTTGAACCTCAAAGTTAACAGTGCTTCTCTCCTAAACAATGCTTGGAATGCACGATGTTCATATAATTTGTCTCCTGACATGACTGACATCCACCTTGTCAAACAGGTTGTAGGGTTTACTGTTACTAGTTACTAAATTCCAGTGGAGCATAATGAGATATATGCTAATCCATACATCTTACAGATGAAAGAGCTGAGATGCCCAGGGAATCTATAGCTAGCCTACTTATCAGACAATCAGCGGAGAACAGGGCCAGGGATTGTACATCCTTGCTGGCCTGGGAGGCACTGCTATTTGGGGACTGTATCTTTGCCCTAGTGTGATGATCTTATAACTTCCAATCTCACTTCCTTCATTTCCTGATCACATCAGGGACCTTGCTGTAGTTGCTGAGTTCTGCAAACAATGCCCACTTTATTAATGGGGCAACCAGAGGGCAGAGAAGTTAATGATCTTTTTCAAGTCTATGCCCCCAGCAAAGAAAAACTTGGAACTCAATTGAAGACTGAATTCTACACGAGAACTCTTCTGATGGGGCCATGCTGTCACCTTTGTAGGTCTTCAGACCTTGTCTTGAGAGAGCACCTTTGTTTACCCAGCCTCTAGTGCCTCCGCCCATACTGTGACTGGGTTAAAGAAGGTTTCATCTCCCAACCCTGATTCAAGGATGGCATGAATAGTTCCATCTAGGAGAACTACAATGCCTTCTCACAGAAATTAGCAGATGTGTTTTAGAAATGCTTGCTAATGGGAAAAAGGAACTATGAAGTTTCCCAAAGTATGCAAGTCTCAAGAGTTTGTATTAAAGTACCAACTGCTATGTGAACAACCCCAAAATCTCAGTGGCTTAAAAAAAAATATTATTTCTTGATCATGTGATAACGCCATGTGGGTGAGCAAGGGTGAGGAGGGAGGCACACGTGCAGGCTTTGTGCCTGTCATTCAGTAACCGAGGCTTATTAGTCCACCGAAAGGGTCTATGGCCCAAAAGTGGCTAAGAATCCATAATCTAGTGGCTTCTCTAGGGCCTCGTAGGCTTCCCTCAGTTCCTTTGCACCCAGTGGGCTAATGAGGGAAGAGACAGAGTGATGAATCACTCACAAAGTTTGAGGAGAGGTAAGGAATCACTTACATCACCTCTCTCCTCATTCCATTGACTAGAACTCAGTTATATGGATCCATGTAACTGCAGTAACACTGGGAAATGTAGTCTCTCTGGGGACCCAAGAGAGGAAATGGGTTAGTGAACATACAGCATTCTCTCTGCTACACGGTCAAGCACACATTTGTTGTATTATACAAACGCTAAATGATACGATACTAAATCAAAGAATGACCCTCTCTCATTCTCTAGGAATGCATCTTTGTAGAATATGACCCTGTTCTCTATCAGCTGGGTGTGTGACTTAGAACAGCTACCTGTGAACCCTGGCTTTATTCTGATGGTCTCGGTTGCCCAATGAAGTGGCTTTCAGCAGGGTTCAAAGGTGAAGCCAGATTCTTCTGTACTAGTAGGATGATCCTGGGCCCCCCAATACTCACTGTGACTTCTGTGATTGTCTGGAATCTTGATGTGGACCATGATACCTTGAGAGAATTTGACCTGAATTTGTACGTGCTACAAATACTGTCAATTTGTAAAGATGCAAACACAGGGCATACCTAGGATATTGCAGGTTTGTTTCCAGACCACATTACAGTGAATATCAAAGGAAAGGGAGTCAAACGAATTTCTTGGTTTCCCAGTGCATATAAAAATTATACTTACACTATACTACAGTCTATTAACTGTACAACACTAGTATGTCTAACAAATAATATATATATCTTAATTTAAAAATCTTCCATTTGCTGGGGCACCTGGGTGGGTCAGTTGGGTGGCCATCCGACTCTTGGTTTTGGCTTGGGTCATGATCTCAGGTTGTGGGATGGAGCTCTGCATTGGGGTCCCTGCTCAGTGCAGTCTGCTTGAGATTCTCTCCCTCTCTCTCTCTGCCCCTCCTCCGGCTCGCCTGAACTCTCTCTAAATAAATGGAATTTTTGAAAAAAAAACCCTTTTATTGCTAAAAATGCTAACCATCATCTGAACTTTCAGGGGGTCAGTGAAGGCTCTTGCCTCAATGTTGATGGCTGCTGACTGATGAGGATGGTGGTCACAGCAATTCTTAAAAATGACAGTGAAGGTTGCCACATCAATTGACCGTTCCTTTCATGAGGGATTTCTCTGTAGCACAGAATGCAGTTGGATAACTTTATCCACAACAGAACTTCTTTCAAAATTACAGTCAATCTTCTCAAACTCTGCAGCTGCTTTATCAACAAAGTTTATGTGATATTCTAAATCCTCTGTCATCATTTCAACAATCTTCAAAGTGTCTGCACCAGGAGTAGATTCCATCTCAAGAATCCACTGTCTTGGGACCTCTGGGTGGCTCAGTGGTTGGGTGTCTGCCTTCAGTTCAGGGTGTGATCTCAGGGTCCTGGGATCGAATCCTGCATCGGGTTCCCTGCAGGGAGCCTGCTTCTCCCTCTGCCTATGTCTCTGCCTCTCTGTGTGTTTCTCATAAATAAATAAATAAAATCTTAAAAATGTCAGGTAGTAAATTTTATTTTACAAGCAGCACATGATACTCTAGCAACAGGAAACGCCGGAACAACACAAAGTGAAATGATAGCAGATACTGGAGGGTACAACGAAACCCTACCAGACATCTATTTATGGGTGAAGCACTTCCTTGCTATGGCGCTGGGGTGCCACAATGGTCTGGTCAGAGGCAGCGGCAGAGGCCTGGCCTTGGGGCCCACTCTGTGCCCTGCTCCAAGACATGGCAAAAGGGGCAGCCTCCCTGGCAGCAAATAGGGAGAGACTGCATGGAGCCGGTGTTGGAAAGAGCAGTAACACTGGTCCCCACTGAGCTGACAAGAAAAAGGCAACAGAGGGCTTTGGAGCTTTTACTGAAGCTTTTTTTATGCTCCCCTGGTATTGTTTTCCAAAATTATTTAACTCTAAGCACATCCCTTTTTCTGAAGTAATTTCTTGGCTTCTCAGTCACCCTGAAATAAGTTGATTACACTGACTTATGAACCAAGTGATTAATGGGATAACTGGCGCCCAGTTCCGGGGTAAGATGGTGCCCCTTTCCCTGGGAGGGCCTAGAGAGCCTGCCAGTGAAATGAGAAGCTGAGGAGGGCTCAGGGGGCCATATGCAGGTCACTATCCCAGACGCTACCACTAACCCTCAAAGCCATTACCCTGAGCCCTAGAAACAGGGAGTTAGATGCCAAAAAGGACTTTGAGGTCAGCCAAAGTGAGCTTCTTGACAGATGTGCCAGATCCTGATAGGACCTGTTTGGCCAAAGTTTTCTTTTTCTCTTGGAGGTGTAAGATCTTCTCTTCCACGGTTCCCTCACAAATAAATCTAAAAAAAAAAAAAACACACACATACACACACACAAAACAAAAAACCCCAAATAAGCAAATAATCAAAAAAATCAAAACAGCATGTTTAATAACATATTCAAATTTCTATTAATGCTTCAGATTTTACATGAGATTTCTTCCCTGACTTAAGTTTTCTTAGGTTTGGCTAAAAACTCCATGTTCACGAGACACAAATAACCTTGATCTAAATACATGCCCATTTAAAATGACACAACTAAAATTATCTTTCATTTCTTTCTGAAGCTAAGGTAATTGAAAAATACCAAAATAAGCAAACAATATCCCTCTCCAAAAAACGGGCAGAGATCCATCCAGTGTTCACCCAAAAATCTCAACCTTGATCAAGTCAGAAGGCCTTAAAGCTTATCAAATTTCTGCCAGGTGTATGTGTGCTGTTCTAAATACAGTGTCTTATTTCTTAGCTAATTCACGTTGAAAACAGGTGTTGCAACCTGAAGAAATGCCACTGTTGTCATTCACTCATGCAACAAGTATTGACTGAGCATTTATGATATGCCATGTGCTATGCTAGGTGAAGGGATGGAGAGATGCTCTCGAAGAGAACATGGGAAGAGAGGCATGCAAGTAAACAATAACATGAGCTGGAAAGTGCTGTAGAAATATGTCCGGTGTGTGCAGAGAGTAAAAGGAAACATCTACAGTGTACTGGCAGGGCTCCATTGAAGACTTAAACTTGTAATGTGTGACTTGTGGGATGAGCAAGAATTTGCCAGATAAAATGGAGGGTGTCCCAGGGAACGGGGATATGGTAAAACCATGGCTGAGTTTAGAACATGGTTATGTTGGAGGAAGAGCAGGTTGTCCAGTCTGGCCAGGAAAAAAGTCCAAAGGACTCTACCATGTGGCAGAGCAATGGCAAAAACTCAAGAGGATGGTGGGAGCCAGATCATGAGTGGCTTTGCATATCGTGCTAAAAAAATTATTATTTTTTTTAAGATTTTATTTATTTATTCATGAGAGACACACAGAGAAAGAGAGGCAGAGACACAGGCAGAAGGAGAAGAGGGCTCCATGCAGGGAGCCTGATGTGGGACTCGATCCCAGGTCTCCAGGGTCACACCTCAGGGTGCAGGCAGGGCCGCCCTCATGCTAAGAAATTTAGATTGAAAAAGGGAAGTGGTAGTGTGGATGGGAAGGAAGAGATGGTTTTAAGAGACACTTAGAAAATAAAAGTAATGGACTTGGTATATGAAAAGTGAGGAAAAGAGAGGAACCTAATCTGTACCTAATCTAGAGGATTAGTTACAGGGATACTATTCACATGTTCAGAAGCATCAAGAGATAGGAGGTGGTATCTCATTTCAGTCTGTGATATTCTGAGTTCCTGGAACATGCCATAGTATTTGCTACATAGTGAATACTCAATAGGTGTTAGTTTTAGGAGCTGGATGAGATGAAAGCATGAGGGAATGAATAATGGGCAAGTATGTGCACACTCAAGATAGCTTGCAGGGATTGGGTATCTAGGTCTGATGTGATGGAATGAAGGTTCAGACTTTGGACTTCCCGGAGTAGACAGGATTATTAAGGGAGCTGCATACAGGGTGAGGGGAGAGCTAACCACCAGGAAACTAGCACGGTTGCTGTATTTGGCAAACTGTGGCATTCACATATGGCCTGTAGTGGAACAACAGCGCTGAAACGTAGAGGATCTGTAAAGGTTAAGGAACGAAGGAGAGGTAAACAAGAAAAGACAGTCAGTAATTTCTAATTCTTCAGGAAACCTGGCCTGAAAAGGAAGGAGAAAAAGAGGTCCATTGCTGGAACAGATTAGAGCATCAAGGCTGACGGTTGCTTTTAAGGGAAGAAGGTCCCAAAGAGGGGGACATCCTACAAAATCACCTGCTTGTGCCTTTCAAAAATGTCAATGTCATAAAACACAAAGAAAGACCAAGGTATTGTCCTAGATTAAAGGAGACAGAAGAGTCATGACAATTGAATGCTATGCAGGATCTAGGGTTTTCCTTTGCTGTAAGGGACATCACTGGGACAAGTGGCAAAATAGAATAAAGTCCAGAGCTCAGATGACAGTACTGTATCACTGTGAACATTTTGATTTCAGGCATTTTCCTGTGCTTATTTAAGAGAATGTCCTTATTTTAAGGAAAGGTACCTTGAACTATTTAAGGGTAAAGGAACACAATGGCTGCAACTGACTCTCAGATGGTCCAGAAAAAAGTTTACACGTACATATATACGTGGTACAGGCACACGAGAACATTTTGGTATTATTTTTACAAACAAGGTTTTTGGGGATTTTATTCTTTTAAGAACTTACATTCCTTTTCTACATATCTGAAGTTAAACCAAAATACAAGTTAAAAAGAAAGAAAATTAATAAGTAAAGGATGGGGAAGAGGGTACTTTCTGTAGCCCTAATACACAAGCTTGTTCTTCTCTTGAAGGAACCAACCCCCAGGACACCCCCAAATTGCTTTGTGCTCCCTCTGGCCTGAGAGTCCCAAGGAGGCTAGGCCTCAGGAACATCATTAGTCAAGCACTCACCAAATACTTGACGTCCTATTAAAACACTACCCAAAAAAGGCTTTCACAAAAGTAAAGCGTGTGAAGGGGCCTAGGTCCCGGCAGGCTTTTACTCACTTGTGTACAACAACATCTTTCTGCTGCCCTACCCGGTAAATTCGGTCACAGGCTTGGTCCTCCAGTGATGGATTCCTGTTAGAAGAGAGGCAAAGCTCAAAGGTGTGGATGCCCTGGACTGGGTAGGCAAGTCCCCTGGGCAGAGTCAGCCTGCAGTTGTTTCTGGATGGCTCTGGAGCTACAAATGGCAGTCAGGGGTTTTCAAGGGTTGACAATGCAAACAAATGAAAAACCCACAATGGAGAATCCGGGACAGAGACCTTTGTGGCCTGCAAAGTCAGAAAGGTATCATCTGGCCTCAAATATTTAGAGTCTATAAATCCCTGTCTGTGGCTATGCTGACCTTGAAAGTCAGACACCTTCCCGCCGTCAAATGAGAAACACAGGTCAGTCTGCCAATGGAAACTCAGCACCATCATCAGCTGAACAACTCTGGGTAGCACAGGTGAAACAAATGTGCAAATTCACTCCCTAACTAGTTAGATGAATTTGAGCAAGTCACCTCACCTTATCCCTCTGTACTTCACACTGCTACTTGGAAACGCCAGGGCTGCCTAATGATGACAGGAAACACCCTTCTCAACTTTAATATTCTGAGATTCAACTAAAGAGACTTAATTTCTTTCCTTTTTTCTACATGCTATCAACTCCAAACTAGTTTCTCATCCTACCTCTTTAAGATCTTGGACAGCATTTCACCATTTCAGAAAACAGCACTGATTTATTTTTTTAAGATTTTATTTTTAAGTAATCTCCACACCCAACATGGGGCTCGAACTCACAACCCTGAGATAAAGAGTTGCACTCTCTGGGAGCCTGGGTGGCTCAGTGGTTGAGCATATGCCTTTGGCTCAGGTCCTGATCCCGGGGTCCTGGGATCAAGTCCTGCATCAGGCTCCCTGCAGAGAGCCTGCTTCTTTCCTGCCTGTGTCTCTGCCTCTGTGTCTCTCATGAATAAATACATCTTTAAGAAAAAAAAAAAAAAGAGTTGCATGCTCTACTGGCTGAGCCAGCCAGGCGCCCCCAGAAGTCAGCATTTAACTCCCACTCTGCTTTCCTCCCTTAAATCTGTCAGGGAGTCCTAAGACCCAAACACATTCTCCCAGAAGATGGTAACAGGTTGGCCTGTGTGTGTCAATCTGGGCTGCCTGGAGAATCAGACAAGTGTGTGGCAATCTCTGCTTGGCATAATTGGAAAACCCCAAACTGAGACTAATTATGACATTCTTGTCCTCCTAACACACAAACTCAGTTATCTTATTTCCAGGAAATTTGCTGTTATGCTCCCAATGTTGATACTCAGTGCGCGGCCAAGGGTCTTGTGTTAAGTGTATTCCTACCATAACCAGAAAATTCCTTCTCCCTTTCCTTTTGGAGTAAAGCTTCTCCTTTTCCAGGGTTGAGATCTCCTTGAACATCCACAAATGGTGTGAAATACGGTATTCTGAAGAGGGGAAAAAACTGAGCGATGGAGTTCTTAGCCCTGAGAAAAAGCCTTCTTCCCGGTTTCCATGGAAACAGATGTAAGATTAACAATAAGTGAGTGCTATTTTAAGCAGTCATTTGGAGCCTTGCTTGCTCAGGAATGCAGGCTTCCAACAGCCCCACACCTTGTTTAGACGGCACCTGTACACGTATACACAGCAGAGGCATCTGCCTAACATAAAAAAGAGCATCCTCAACAAGAGGATTTGGGCCCCACTACCCCGTGCGCCACCCCCCCCCCCGCCACGCTATGCTAGGACTATGCAACAGAAATCCAGAATCATTACCAGTGCATATCCAGAAGAAAAAGGTGGTTTCCTCCAGTCAGGTTCAGACCAACACCTCCAGCCGAGAGAGAGATTAGCATAACCTTCGAAAAGAAAACACAGCATTCACTTATCAAGATGTGACTCATAATACAGCTCTCGAATTGGAGCCCAAGACCAATACAGGTAAGTACCATGTTCCTATCCAGTTTCCCTCTGCTGTTAAAATACTCTTGAGATGCAGCGTCCCATGCCTCACCTTTAAGAAAACTCTCACTTCGTATTTTTTTTTGTGAGTTAACCTCAGAATGTGAATTCTATGCCTGCCAAAATGCACAAATGCTACAATTTAGAGTACTCGGGGTGGCTGGCTGGACGAGCTCTCCATTAACCAGATTCTATCCATTCCCTCGGTCTCTGCACCCTCACCCACTGCCCTGATCTTCCCGCCCACTGTCCACCAGTGTTTTCTGCATTCTTGCCATCCCTCCACCTCTCCCCCCACACTTCCTCTTATCAAAATGCGACCTACCCTTCAAAGGCTTGCCTCCCCTACAAAGATAGCTTGAGCCAACCAGCTCTGCTCTTCCTCTGCTTTTAGCCCTCGTATTTTATTCTCCTTAAAGCAAGTGCACACTTTGATATGTACCCCAATAGATGTCTAATAAATTAAAAGCATGTGGAGGGACCAAGGCAACAAATGTTTTCATGCTGAGCTGCTACCCTAGAATTCTCGCTGTGTAACTGAGAACCATGCGCTCTCAATGACAGAGCTCTGAGGGGACCAGCTCCTACCTGGGGACTCCTGGAGCTGTTAAATGCCTCCACTAAGTCCATTCTCTGTTTGGGGCTGACAGAGCCATTGATGGTGGCATAAGTCAGGCCACGCTTCTTGAGGTGCCACGCTACAATCTGCAGCATGCTGGTCCACTGGGAGACAATGACACTGGAAGTAAGGATAAAACAAAACATCAACCCCCCTGAAGAGATGAAACACATTTCAGGGTCTTAATGCCCTGTCACTCTTTAAGATTCGGCTATCAAATGTGGACCAGGAAAGGCCTTCTGTCCCCTGTGGGGCAAAGGCACACACTGAGGTCACATTTTAAGGTCAGAATGCTTCAACTGTTTCCAGATCCAGTGCGTAATTCATCTCATGCTAAATGAGGTCAGAATAAAGTGGTGGCTGGCCTAAAATAAGGACTGCAGCCTCTTGTTATTTGGTGACCTGTTGCTCCTCTAGAGATCTGTGGTCCTGCAGGAAAGGGATACGGGCTGCCCTCCCTTTGCCACCCACAGCAAGCTACTGGGAGGTCTCTACCCACACCCCCAAGCCCCATGCTATGTTTTAATTAGGATTTTAAGTTATTAAATCAAAATAATTCACATACACAAATGCAGGTCCATAACCCACAAGTAAGGGTAACAGATGACAAATGGATCCAACATATCGTACGGGCTCAAGAACACTCCCAGCACTGCGGGGCTCCCTGTCTGATCACACACCTCCCCCTGCCTTTTGCACCTGTTATTCCCTTGCTTTTCTTTAGCTGCTTCTCTACTTTTAAACACTTGTCCAGATGCTTAGCTTACTCTGATCCTCTAGGGACTTCCTTCTCAATCAGTGCCACAAATATTTTAACAAATCACAGAGAATTTGTGCTATCACCTCAGTGCTTTCTGCTGAGGATGATTCAAGGTCCTTGATTTATAAAAAGCTGAGATTGAGAATTATCAGCAATATCAAGGTTTCCTGATTAATCACAAGCAATATTTGGATAATAAAATAACACATTTACCTCTTTTGGGACCCTGAATTTCCTCGGATTGCCTCCAATTCCACCAACAGAGATGAAATCTGGGAAATGTTATTTGGTATACGTAAGTCGTAGCAAATTCGCTTTTCTCCCTCATCCCTCACTTGAACTACAGAAGTGGGCTCTCTGCCTCTGGTCTTGCCTCACTCTAGGCCACCCTCCTCTCTGTGGCCCAAGGGCTATTTCTAAAATGTCCAGGCTGTCACTTCCCTTCTCTGGCTGGAGTTCCTGAACTGCCTTCCCACCAAAGATGGAGCCCAAGCTTCTGACAATGACCTACCAGATCCGTGCTGCTCCGGCCTCAGCTTATGTCTACAGTCTTGTATCTCACTACTCCCTCCCCAAACAATGCTCTCATTATACCAAAGTCCTTCCTCTGCTAAGCCATACTTTGTCTCATCTTTGTCCACTCTGTCCTCTCTGCCTAGAACACCCTTCCAAGTCAGATCAGCATCACTTCTTGGAGGTCCCCACAAACCCCAAAGTATGGGTTAGGTGCCCACTGCCCACCTGCTCCTATGGCTTGAGCACTCCTTCTGTTTCTATTGTCATGGTCTTTTTCACACTACACATTGTGTATTGATCATCTCTTGCTATCATGACTTGAGGTGCTCCAAGGAAACAGAGCCAGCATATGACTGGTTCATCCCTGGTTCAAACCCCTAGCATCCAGCAGGTAGCCAGACCAGAGAAGGTACTATCCAAACTTTTGCAGAAAGACAAAGTGAAAGAGCTTTATCCAGTTCTAAAGGCTGCTGAAGAAGACGACCTGTTCAGTCTGAGCAACACTTGCTAAGGCTTCCCAAAAAGCTCTCTGGGTATTTACCAAATGCCCTCAGAGCACATCTGAGTCCACATGGGAGCAGGTGGTAAGAACCCATGAGCTGGATACATTCCTCCCAACCGCTAATGCAGATGACCTTTTGAAAGCCTCTAAGGGCCATGGAGTTAACCCCCAAGATGGTGGAGGAGGAAGAAAAATGGACTAGGAATTGAGAGATGACGGGAGCTCTTACGCTCTGCCATCAATCACATGGCTGTATCCCTTCATGACTTCTGGTTAAGAGCTCAGACACCTCATCACTGAAACAAGGAGCTGCCCTGGGTGAACTTTGAGGTGCCCTCGGCACTTATGTCCCCTGCTACCGTAGAGTGGTCACCTCTAGAGGCCTCCACCACCCATGAGGCTGCCACCCAGTCTCAACAGATGTGCTGGACAGAAAGTGAGGACAGCACTGGATCATTCTGAATTTGCAAGGAGAAAGAAAAGCAGGAAATGAAACACCTGGTGTCTTGGTGACTTGAGGTTCTGATAAACGCTCAGACTGCCACAAAAAAGTTGGCAGTAGGTATTTTGAGAAAACTTTAGCGGGAGAGAAGCTGGCCTCACAGTCTATGAGCTGGGGTCAAATTCCAGGAACTTCTACATGAGTTTAGGAGGGTGCTGCCAAAACTTCCTTCCCTACGAGAAACAACCTTAAATGGTTTGAATCACTATTAACGGGCGGACGTTAAAAAGCCCTGTGAATAAACATTACCCAAGTATTAGGTGAGGCACACAAATTATGAGGACTCTAACTTTTACCCAAGAACTAACTCTGAAGGTGCTAGGACATCGAGTTTATCCACGTGAGGTGTTCTTCCTATGTTTTTCTCGGTTCCTAGTGGTGAAGACCTCAGTAAATATTTGTAAAATTTAAATAATTCTTAAGTAACACTGAGCTCTTGGCAGTGACCTCATTTCTAGTTGCATTTTTGAAAAAAAAAAAAAAGGTTTTGAAGAGAGGTTGGGCCTGGGAATGGCAGCTTCAGACAGCAGCTGAAAAGAGACTAGCCCTCATCTCAGGCTATGCGGACTAATAGTATACACTCCAAGCAGCCAACAGAAAGGCAGGATTCAAATTACAGCACACCTCAGCCTTCCTGCACCACAACGCTTCAGCCTTAAAAAGCTTTAATGAAAATAGAACAAAATGACTAATGAAGATAGAAGGCTATTTAGGAAATAATACTCACAGATGGATGACTTTCAACAAGTCCAAGCAATTGGTGCTCAGAAGTATCAGACAGTCTCTGGGGTCAGCCTTTGTGGTTTTCTTTTAAAGCTTTCCTGAGACAAACTGCTCACTGAGGCCCTGTCGTTGGTGTAAACCCGATCAGCAACTTTCCCAGTGACCCATGACAGAAAATCTGCCTTGCTGCTGGGGCTGGCCCAAATCACACTCTGAAAGCCCACTATGTAATAAGACTAGTTTTATCTGTGAAATAAAATTAGAATTTAAGACTGGGAGGGGTATTGGACCAGCTCAAATCTAATAGTTCTAGCCCTGTCATGCAATGGCTGTGTGTGCTTGAACCAATGTGCCACTCCTACACATGAAAACAAATCCAAGTTTTTCTATCAGAACAGAGGTGACAAAAGTACCTTGCTGCTTGCTCTTGTGTTGTCAAAAAGCTCTGCCTTGAAACGTTCACCATTAAGGGAAATGATGGGAGATGGCTCCATATCACAGACTTCGGACAATGTCATGGCACTGAGCTGCTCTTCCAGAGAAAGGGCTAGGCCCTCGCTTTTCAGTTCTACTGGGTCCAGGGCCTGAAAAGAATACAGGAAGGGGACAGAAGAACAGGTGGGCAGTTGAGGCAGCAAGCCATGTTATTTGCCAATGAAGTACTGATTGTTTAACATCTCACAAGGCAAAATGTCTTATAATTCATCAGTATCTCCTCAGAGACAATCTGATTCAAATGTAATCTTGCAAGTTTTTTTTAAAATATTTTATTTATTTATTCATGAGAGACAGGGAGAGAGAGAGAGGCAGAGACACAGGCAGAGGGAGAAGTAGGCTCCATGCAGGGAGCCTGACATGGGACTCGATCCTGGGTCTCCAGGATCACACCCTGGGCTGAAGGCGGCACTAAACCGCTGAGCCACCCAGGCTGCCCAACCTTGCAGGTTTTTATAACAGATTAAAGATAAAGCAAAACGATGGAACGAAGAGATTTGCCAGATTACATGATCATCCTGTTCTCCCCAGCTTAACAGTACAGTTAATTAAGCTATTGATAAGCAAAACACATTACCACAGCTCTTCAAAAAGAGTAACAGATTCATCTTAATTACGGATGGATGTGCCTTTCTCCAATGTAAAGGCAACTTTTCCAATTGTATAAATACTTGAGTTTTCATGACTAGCCTTAAAAGCCTCAATATTGCCTGAAGGCAGAAAAAACTAGTACCTAAATTGGCTTCCTGATACCCTAAAATACCAGAGTACTCATGAATGGCTTAACAAAATGACATTTTCCACTCTCAAATAAAGTTTATGTACAAAAAAAACCCAACAACAAGAAAAGCTGTTCTCAATACTATGGGAATTATCTCAAGATCAATGAAAACTAATATACAGGAAAATAAACAAGCTTCCTCTTCTCTGCCCTACCAATAAACAGAAAGGCCCCAACATGCCATTGCCCTTGATCCGGCAGGCTGGACCCCAGTTATGGAAGACTGAAACGATTTCTCTGGCAGCCATTCTGGGGGTGCACCCTGAGGGCTCTTCTTACCGACTTCAGCAGAGATAGGTGGCAGCAACATTGGCGGAGTCTCAGCAAGCGGGTCAACAGTAAGTGGGGGGTGCCGGGTCTCTGGGAGTCTGCTGCCACGCAGGGTCCCGGCCTACTGGACCCAAACTCCTGGGCCACTTCCACGAAGGGACACAAACCACGGCAAACAGTACAGGGTTTAGAACAGAAACATGGGGACAGATCGCAAACCGAAAGAGGCTGTTCTGAACTTCCTGGATCTGAGATTCAATAACATCATTGTAACTGACCTCTCTACCAAGTGAGCCACACGAAATACTGGCTTTCTTTACAGACCAAGCTGCATTTTAATAATGCAGAGTTCAAAAGTAATCTAAAAGAAGTTTCTATCACCAGGTCTGGGTGAAGGCAGATGGGCTTATGTTACTTTGGTTTGAGGTTCCTAGCTAAGGCCAAATCTCTGATACCAAGAACTCATAACGGCCATATCTGTAATTTTACCTGATCTAAATCCACAGTTTCATAACTTGTATGTACTTAGGAGTGTCCCACTGCTTACCTTTACTGAATGGATTACCAGGGCTTCTTCCAGACTGGTTGCCCCCACCTTCACGCCCTGCTTTTAGATAGGACTGCAGAGCTGACCTACCTCAGATCAAAAGAGAAAATGCACATGTGATGTTTGTTAAGACAAAAGAGGTTTACCCATGGTCACTGCTTAACTGAGCTTGCAGGAGGAACTCGAATAAGACTTGTTAAATAAAGACAGGCTCATGGCAACCACTGACCAAAGGTAATTAAAATTATTTTAAAAGCCAAATCATTATTTATTTAAAGATTTTATTTATTTATTTGACAGAGAGACAGAGCACAAGCAGGGGGAGCAGCAGGCAGAAGGAGAGAGAGAAGCAGGCTCCCCACTGAGTAGGGAACTGGATATGGGGCTCCATCCTAGGACCCTGAGATTATGACCCGAGCTGAAGGCAGACGCTCACCCAACTGAGCCATCCAGGTACCTCCCAAATCATTTTTTAAATGTGTTAATAAAACATTAATATTATAAATATTATGTGTGATAACTTATTATTAATTTATAATATTAATGTAATATCAAAATTAATTAGTATTGGTTTATATTTAGTAATAAATATACTACATCAGGTTTACAAAGAGAAAAGAAACATATTCACATTGGAAGTGAGAGGTACGAAGCGGGAGAGTAAATCCGGAGCTTAGGGAAGGATAAGAGTTTTAGAGAAAATACAAAGAACAGGTGACGAGGATCAGAGTTTTGTTTTTTAGGCTCCAAGGAGATGCTGAGTAACAGGTCAAAGGTCAAAGAAATGTTCTTTCCCAATATGGCCCCATAGGACCAGACAGACCTGATGCACTGTGACCACACTGTCTGGCTTCTATGCAAGGAAGCCAACGAAGAACAGGTTCAGTGTGTATACAAGATAGAGGCGAGCCAGAGTGCGGGTGAGGAGAGAGAGACAAAGAGGGAGATTTAAAAGCCAAAACAAACAGAGAAAGGAACACAGATACCCAAATCATCAATAGTTCTATAAACACTGTCTGAAGAAACTTGACCCTTAATTCACTTCCAAGCAAGAACAGGAACAACACAACAATAAATGTGAGGTGCTTCCTCATCGCACACACCTTGATTTTGCCAAAAGGACACTGTAAACATTCTCCTCATCTTCAGAAAGCTTTAAGCGGTGCACGTGAAACTGACGCTGAGGCAGCATCACCTGGAGGAAAAGAAGAACTCAGCTTGGCAAAGTCAGACAAATGCCCTGGGCATTACAGAGTAAGTTCCCCACAGGTGACCCTGGAAACCTAGTCAAACCCCAGACAGCTCTTCCACCTGCCCTAAAAACAGGACTGCGGTGACACATGACGACCTGGGGCCCCCTCACAGGCAGATGGGACCCTCGGAGGCTCCCAAGCAAAGCAGATGGCTGTTTGAGCCAAGAAGAGGGCATACCACCCTCCTTCCTCAGCCTCCCTCAGGGACACGTATAAATGAGAGGATTACCAAGGGCTTGCCTGTGGAGTCCAGCTGGTCTTTTGTTCTCCTCAGCAAAAGGCTCTTGGTTAAAATACTTAACCGCTCTCCTCCTTTCTTTGAACCATTGTCAACCTGGCTCTTCCATAGTTGGAAATCATCAAATGGAGAACAGCGAAGAAATCTTTTTTTGTTGTTGAGGAAGAGGACAGAGAACAGGACAGAAGAATTGGAGAAATAACAGTGCAAGGAGAAAATAAACAAGGGTCCAAAGAAACACACAAGGTGAGAAGCAAATCATATTTTCTGTTACATCTGTCATTCAATCAGTTCTTAACAGTGAATTTCATAGCAAAGCCCTGAGAGACACATCAAAAGAATCTAACTCAATAACAAAACCACATTGTAAAATGTGAATTTTCCCATTAACGATGTCCGTATCATCACAACAGGACATATGAACCGATAGCTGTAATTTAATCCTAAAGCTTCAAAGCCCGGCAAAGAAATTCCATTATCCTCTGATGGGCTGACTTGAATAAAAGCAAGGGCTTTAAAATCAGCATTCTTTTCTGTTTGCTTCCAATAAATAGTAGGCCTAACCTTGGGCCATATACTTTAAAGCAGGAAAAAACCCCAAACATTCACTGGACTGAAGAAAGAGAACTTTTGTTTCCTTTCATTTTAATCCATCCTAAATCTTTCCATATAGTGGGGCTCGATGTGATCATAGTCCTGTATCTGCCAATCAACTGATTACTTCCTCAAAAACATGAATTCTTTTGCCCTTTAGAGGTTCAGAAGCTTGCCATCTGCTACATGAAATAATCTGGCACACTCTGGAGCTTTCTCTTGAGATAGGAAATAATGATGAAGGGTTACTGACACGGTTCATATTTCCATGATCCTGAAGGTTTTTACTCACTTCAGCAGTGAATACATATCCAACAAGGTGTTCTGAATGGGGGTTCCAGTGACAGCCCAACGGGCATGGGCTTGTAGCTTGCACACAGCCATGGAAGTCTGTACTCGCGGATTCCTGACACAGTGGGCTTCATCTAATATGATTCGAGCCCAGACTATTCGAAGCAAAGGTGTTTTGGCAATATCCTGGAAGAAACCCAAGTAAAATCATCAACTGTATGGGAAAATGCCATGCCTTCAAGAAGATAAGGAGAAACAATGAACAAGTACTGAGATCCACTCTAACCATCAAGTTTTAGGGCTTAGGTCGGGCACACTGAAATAAGAATTAAGCTGAAGAATCGAAAAGTGGAGATTCTCAGTGGGTAGAAATAAACAAGTTGACTTGAGAGTCCCAATCTCTGAGTTTAAGATGCTTAAGAGTAAAACGTTTTACCTTGAGTCTTCAAGTTAAAACACAAAAGTGAGCAACGGCCATGGGTCAGGATGACACTATGTCTCAAGTCTAGAAATTCACTCGTTTCAATAAAAATATTTACTAAATTTATGAAAATTCACTACATTTACTTCAAGTCTACTTTTATTTTTTTTAAATATTTTATTTATTTATTCATGACAGACACAGAGGGAGAGGCAGAGACATAAGAAGAGGGACTCCAGGATCACAACCTGAGCTGAAGGCAGACGGTAAACCACGGAGCTACCCAGGTGCCCCTAAGTCTACTTTTATACGTAAGATATGAAATCAGACATGAAGCACAGTTCCCAGCCTCAAGGAGCTCAAAAGGGAGCAGGGAAGAAAAATAAGCAGAAAGATTAATTATGGCACGATGTCGATATATTAAGTACCACTGGATAATTCAACACATGCTGGAGGAACCTAGCCAGGGTGGCTCACTGCTGTCTCTCTAATACCTGAAATAGCATCTGGCACATAGGAGATATTCAAGATGTGCTGAATATGTGGAGTGCTAGGACTTAAGTAAGTACAAGGTATAGGAGAGGCATTTAACCAAGGATTAAAGGATTCTTAAAGCAGGTAAAACAAACAAACAAAAAACCCAAACTAACCTGGAAAGGGAACAGAGGCAAAGCATTCCACTGAGAGAGAGCAAAGGCACAGCAGTGTGACAGAGCAGGGCAGACATACATCCCCTGGGACTAAGGAGAAGTCACAGGGAGGGCCAAGGTGTAGGAGATAAGAGCCCCGTCAAGTAGGACAAGGTCATAAAAAGCCTGATTCATCCTGGAAAGGAACTACGGTTTTATCCCGAAAGCAATGAGGAACCAGTGAGGAATCTGAAAAGTTCATCATCGACAGGAAATCAGAGTTGGTCTGACTGGAAAAGCATTCTAGAGATTTCCCCCAATATGGCGATCTGATGAAAAATAACACGCAAAAGATTAGCTCTTGGAACAGCACCACATTTTCAGGAGAAAAAGCCCATGATAATGATGCCAGAAAGCCTCTATGCTATTTGATGGAGACGACCCTGGACGCCCTAGCAAACAATCAGTCTTCCCTGGTTATCAGTTAGCCTCAGGCCCCTTGGTAGCCTGACTGCAACCTCTTTCCCTAGGAGGTGGAAGACAGGCAGGAGTAACAGCTTGATGCAAAAATGCCAGTATTAAAATGCTGCTCTTCACGTTAAATATAAAAAAATATCCTAAGAGGGGTGCCTGGGTGGCTCAATGGGTTGAGCCTTTGCCTCAGGTCGTGATCCTGGGGTCCCAGGATTGAGTTCTGCATTGGAGCCTGCTTCTTCTGCCTCTGTCCCTCCTCCAGCTCATCCTCTCGGTCTCACTCTCACTCTCAAATAAATACATAAAATCTTACCAAAAAAAAAAAAAAATACCCTAAGAGTATACCCAGAAGGCTCTAAAATAAAAACTGCAGGAAGTGGCACTTCCCATATTCATGTGACAGGCCCCACTACAACTGCTATGCAGTTACTGTTCACTCTACACAACAACTAAATACTGTGCCAGACCTCAACCTTCATCACTGATGATAAAGGTCTGGAATAAATAGGAACGAAGAGAGGAAGGCACTTTCCGTGTCCACAGGTGGAATGTCCAGGCCATTCCTAACCTCACAAGAATGTACCTTTGATGCATGTGATGCTGTGGGAGGCCTCCAGTTAAATTATGAGGTGCTGGTCCATTTCCCTGGTGGCTCCCAGACTCACCTTCCCCATACTGGGGTTTGCACCGGGGATCGCTCCCTCCTCTTTCTGTGTGGGAATCTCCTTGGCCAGAAGGTTATAGGTAGTGATCACGATGTCATATGTAGAGAGGCTGTGCAGACAGAACAGGAAGCAAACAGTAAACTATCCCTCCACATTGTGACTGACAAGAAAGGGGGAGTTGATCCCTTTATAAAAATGCCTGTGACTAGAAGAAGGACAGGGGGCAGAATTCATTAATTCGTGCCCTTAATCCACACATACATGGTAAATTTTACTTACTTGGCTTCCTTATGTCTTTCCTCTGATCATTTTTATAGCCTGTTTACTAGAGCTAAACGGCCTCCCTGTTCCCATCACATGAGTCAGAAAAGAAAATCTCTGGCTGGAGTCATATTAAGCTGGATTTGATCTGGCAACAACAGAAGTAGGGCAGGGCTGGGAATTAACATGTAGGAATGATTTGAGCTAGATTGATGCTGAAGTCCCAGGGAAGTAAGAAACCCTCAAAGCGTTATTCATCTAGATCTGATCTTTCACCTTATCATTCTATAACAGATTTCTGAAAACACATTAATCTGGCCTTGATATTTGAGTATAAATATACACACGTAAGCTTTGAGTTTACCTTGCCTCTACTCTTTATATGTAAAGATTCTTAACAAAAAAATCTTTTTTCCAATGAAACTTAATATCGTGCACCTGAGAGAATGCCCATAAATACTTTTGATAAAATGATACGCCTAATTCAGAGGGAACACTGTCTACACGCTGACTTAGCATCATACAAAGAAGAAGGATTAAGAATGATTCCAAACAGCCAACTAGTAGTACATTCTGAATACCAAATCAGGTATGACTGAAGTGCAAATCAAGTAAGGTGCAATTAATTTCTAATAACTTTAACAGGGGCACCTGGGTGGCTCGGTCAGTTTAATTATCTGCCTTCAGCTCAGGCCCTGATCCCAGCATCCTGGGATCAAGCTCTTTGTTGGGCTCCCTGCTCAGCAAGAAGTCTGCCTTTCTCTCTCCCTCTGCTCCTCCCCCATCACTCATCTCTCTCTCTCTCTCTCCCCTCCCTCCCTCAAATATATAAAATCTTTAAAAAAAAAAAAAAACTCGCTAGAACAAAGGTTAACCACTGATGGTACTCTTCTGGAGAAGGCACGCAGGCACTGCTGCCCTAACACCTTTCATCTGTTAAAGTGACCCTCATTCATGAGAATGGGTGTATTGGAAGACTGATGGCCCCCAATTTTGCAACTCACCCCTGGAAGACTACCACTCTGTTCTTTAGGAGATAAAATACCTAATATGAGAGATTGGAGAGATTGTTTAGAAGCAGAAACAACTCGGTTCCTTGACTAGGTTAGCAAGTATTCAACCTAGACCATCATATCACAATTAGGAACTAAAAACGATTCCTTCAGGGACGCCCAGCTGGCTCGGTAGATGGAGCATGTGACTCTTGATCTTGGGCCCTACATTGGATATAGAGATTTTCTTAAAAAGAAAATCTTAAAAAACAAAAAAATCCTTTAAAACCAAAAGGCAAAGCTAGGACTAAAATTACCACCTGGGGAAACATTTTCCTTCCTGCTTCCTGATCCACCCCCTTCAGGAATTCAGTTAGGTCTAATCTAAACCCTTGATTCTAAAACTTCGTAGATGGTTCCTATGTGAAAAACATAGCCAGTCCATACCAACTAATCATTAATATTCTACCAAGATGCTCTATTAAGACCAGGCTGGTTACATTTACACAAACGGAAAATGAATGTGAGTTTGGAATCAGAAATTCAGCAAGAATGAAATAACTGTGGCAGACCCTCTTGCGCCAAGAGAATGCTGCTGCTTCCTGACCAACAGCTCGGGCATCTCAGGCTACCTCCCATGACAGCTCTTGTTGACGATGGTAACGAGGATACAGCAAAAGAACACCATTCTCTTCAGAGAAGCATCTCCTAGGGATGCCTGGGTGGTTCAATGGTTGAGCATCTGCCTTTGGCTCAGGGTGTGATCCCGGGGTCCTGGGATCCAGTCCTACATCAGGCTTCCTGCAGAGAGCCTGCCTGTGTCTCTGCCTCTTTTTGTGTGTGTCTCTCATGGATAAATAAATGAAATCTTTTTTACAAAAGTAAACAAACAAACAAAAAAGATGCATCTCCTAGCACAGGTGGAGGATGCTGGGTGGCGAAAGTGCCTTTAGTCTTCTCAAGTATCATTAGTCCTGACTACCAGAAAGCTCAAGGAAGGCCAATATGACCCCTCAAGCCAAGATGCTAAGAGCTGGCACCGAATGCAGTGTTTCTGCACTTACACTTTTGCACGTTGATCCCGATTGGGCCCATGATAGAGACAGACTCTTAGCGTGTTGCTGCTCACACGTTTCATCACCTCGTTTTTCCAGTGATGGATCAGGGAAGCAGGACAGATGATCAGTGTGCCACGGGAAGTGAACTCACGGGAGTCTTGAGGGGAAAAAAAGTCAACACCTCATTACTCTCATTAAACAGTCTTTAACCCTTAAAGTTATCTCCTCTTTTTCTAGACTATTCTTCCTTCAATCAATATTTTTAACAAACTGCTGCTCTTATTTCCACACACAGTATAGAACAGAATGGGAAATTAAAGGGGTGGTCTTTTAACTCACAACACTTCTTTATTTTCCCCCGTACAAAGGTCAGACAGAGACAGTGGCTAAAGGAAGAAAAGAAAGGGCACAGTACGTGGTCTCCATCTAAAGAAACCAATGTGCTTCCAACAGTGGTCAGGAGGCAGAAGCAGGATCATTTCCTACCTCAGCCTGAGCTGGTTCGTTACAGGGGGGTACTTTTTTTCTGAAAAGCGTCACCTAATTACACATCCACCTCACAACAGAAGTACAAAACTCCTAAAATAAGCAAAGATTACCCAGGAACTAGCTAGCAAGAGTATTTGTACCACTGTCCCACCACCCCCATCTCTGTGTGTGCATGCAGCATGTCACTACTGCACCCAGAGCCACGGGATCCAGCTGCCACCAGGAGAAGCCTTGAGAGTGGAGAGCCAGATCTGCACCAACCAACTAAGAAAGGTCCTTGCATACATGGCAACTCACGTGTGATGCAGTGTTGCCAACACGTGACATATCAGAGCTTTAAAGTACACAGACAGCTATTTTATTTTAAAAACAGAGGATGAAGTGAGAAATTGTTGAGAATTTGGAAAGCTGAAGAATTTCAGAAAACTTGGAAACAGCTTCTGCTATAGTGGCTAAAATCCAAAGGTGGGACAAACCTTCCTTAAAAAAATAGTATTAATTAAAATCTTAAAAAAAAAAAAAAAAAAAAAGGATGCCTGGGTGGCTCAGCAGGGAGCCTGCTTCTCCCTCTGCCTGTGTCTCTGCCTCTGTGTCTCTCATGAATGAAGAAATAAAATATTAAAAAAAATATTATTAACTAATTTGGACCAGCCCCATAGTTGTGTCCTCAACATTAACAAAAATAATAAGAGCCATTTCAAAGCCTTGGCTTTCTTTTTAAAATTTTTTTCTAATCCCAGGTCAAGCTAAGTTGATAGCAAAAGAGGCAATGATCACTTGTAATTAGCATATCCAGCATCAGAAATGATGCCAGAGGAAAGAGTCTAACACTGGTTCTCTAATAGACTAATGACACATGACCAAAAGTATTCTTTCGTAGCCTAAAAATGTCCACTCTCTGCTGGCTCAGATAATTTTGGAAATAACAGGCTATGAGGGCGTTTGGATACCATCTTTGGAAAGCCAAGTCAATGCCACGTTTTTGTCCTCTTCTTTGGTTTTCTCTTGATTCTTCTGGGTCAGGATGAGGGCAATCATTGTTAGGGTTTTTCCTAATCCCATATCATCCGCTGGAAAAAAAAAAAAAAAGGAAGTTAGATAGTTTATCACTTAGGGCAAAGAATCACCTCCACTTCAAGAGAAGAAATCACTGGCATACCTTGGCTCCTGCTGGTTCAGGCACTGTTCTTTCCTACCCTAAAAAATCCTTCACCTTGTGTATGAAGATGAACCCTAGCTCTTGCTACTCATTATCCAGATCAAAGACATGTTACCGTGATTTTTGCAAGACTTATAATTTAGACCTTACTCTGGTCTGCAGGTTGTATTGTTACTTACCTAATGCATTCACTGGTATCTGTCTCTCATTTGGTGATATTGGCTAGTTTTTAAAAATTTTTACTCCCCCAAAACCAAAAAGATCCAATAGATGGAGTTAATTCAAAACAGTCCTCCATTCCCTAAACTTGTTCATCAAAGAGAGACATAAATTAACATTTCTTAGGTACTGTCATTGTGCTGGTCATTGGACTCCTCTAATTTAGTTTACTATTTTTTAGACCCTATAAAATATTCTCATCCTCACTGTAACAGTTTAAATAATCGCTGACATAAGCAGAAGTAAAATGTCACAGTGTGGATTCTGGTTCAAATTCAGGCCCTGCTACTTTGAGTAGACAAGGAGCTAACATAGCAGGCCTCACCATCATCCTAGGGAAGGCCTGCTGACAGGGCCCTGGGCCGGCCTTGGGAACTCGAATTCAAGCAGGGTTCCCACCATTCCCAGAACTTATAAGAGTGGTTCACTGAGCCTAAACTGCACACACAAACAATACGGTTTATTCTATATGTTGGCAAATTGAACACCAATAAAAAAACTAATTTAAAAAAAACAACAACAATGTGGTTTTGCTTAACATCTGCTTTCCTTCTGGAAGCCTGGGATTCCAGGACCAACCAGGCCTGAAGCTGCCAGTGTGACCAACTTCCAGTAAACACTTTAGGCCTGAACTCCCCCACTCAGCAACATCTTAACAAGTGTCATCACAGCTCACCCTGGCCGACTTCACTGCCAAAGGCCTCTGGAAGCTTGTACCCAGTATCCTCTGAACTTTGCTCCATGTGCCTTTTCCCTTTGCAGATTGCGACTTATAACAAATCAAAATAATCTTACTTTTTTTATTTTGTAATAAACCCTAGCCGTGAGTAAGATACCATGCTGTGCATCTTCCTAGCAGAGTGTCTAACCTGGAGCTAGTCTTGGGGATCCTTATCATAGCCACTTACTAGCCATTATGGCCATCTGTCATGTTTCCTAGAAGCTGAGCACCTTGGAAAATTTTATTTTGCTGAGTTTCCAAAGCAAAACACAGAAAACTTTTTTTCTAGGCTCCCCACACCTAAGGCCTGGCAGCGTGATCCGGCTCTGGAGAATACATACACTCACACAAGATTTCGAAGATGTGAGCAACTTGAGAAAAGAGGCTCCCTGTGAAATCCTTTTGGCAGGAAGGAGTGGAGACAGGGGTTTCTGACTTTGGGGTGGCTTCTTGGAACAAAGTAGCCATGACAGTTCCCAGAAGACACTGAGGCTATTCCTTGGCTTTGTCCATGCTCCTAGACGTCCGGCCTCCCATCTAGCTCTCCACATCTCTCAGACTGTCTGTTCTGTGCCACCAGAGAATGAACTGTCTCTCTGCTTAATTAGTCAGTCAGCTTCTGCTTGTAGCCACGACTTGGCTGACCCTACAGCTATGTACTCTTGAGTATGCTGCTTTACCATCCTGTACCCCAGTTTCTTCATCTGGAAAAGGGGACAGCAAAGTGCTCACTCCAGAGCTGCTGACAGGACCAAATGAAACAATATGATATGTATGTTGGCTCCTATCATAACACCAGACTCACCCAGAATTCCACCATGTGGCTTCTGACTTTCCCGCCATAGCAACCAGGCCAATGCCTGCTTCTGGTGCAGGAGCAAGGGGACCTGGCAAAGGGAAGAACCAAAAGCTGAGTATAAATTCCTCATGAGCACTGGATCCTGACTACTCAGACTCCACGCTTTCCTCTCCTTTTCTAGAAGTGATCCTCCCAATATTCCAGCTGTCGTGGGGCCGCTCACAGCACCTCAGAGGTCCGTGACTCCACATCTCACCTAGGGTGACCACACATCCTGGTCTGCTAGGGACAGACTTGCACCTGCTAGCCAGCATGTCTACCAAGAGCATCCCCCACCCCCTCAAGTGGGAGTCTTGCTTTGTCTGCTTGAATCAGCCAGGCAGCTTCTACTGTTTGCAAGCAAGACCTCTGACTGGCCACCTCCCTTTCACTCCTGAGCCACTCCGATGTTTTCTGCTCATTCTCTCTGTAGGCAGGGTCCCGGATCTGCACTGGGAGTCATAAATTTCAGCAGCCCTTTGACGGACACCCCCTTCCAGTCTTTTAATCCAGCTCATCTGGTACTCCACGACAAAAACAATCTTCAGGAAACACCCGGCTCAAGGTTCTATGGGATCTCGTCCCATCTCCTGAGTGAATCTATCTGAGCTGCTCCCCTGTGCCAGGTTGCATCGTGAGGCAGGCCCCCTGCTCAGTGATGTGACCTGCTGCTCCCCATCTTCACCTGTTAGTAATGATGCCTGCATCTTCTCTCCAACCCAAGTGTTTGGTTTCTATCCTCCTTGCTACCTTCGGGCTTGCCACTTTGTTAAGGCACAGGGAGGCAGGCAATAAAGACTTCTTTACCTACGGTGACTTTCCCTTATTCTGAATTCCTTTTGTTTGCTGTATACTGTCTGCAGCCCATGATAGTGCACATTTTACCTTTGTTTTCGTATAATTTTCTATGTTTCATATATGTTGCATATGCGCACTTGCCCCCAACTAGTTCATTAAGAGCAGCAAGTCCTTTGCATCCTCGTAGCACTCACTGAAGCTCAATAAATGAGTCTTTTATTGCTATACACCTATAGAACGTTATGGCTTTAACAAAAAAAAGTGGGTTTTGTATTTTTTTTCCTCCCTACCACACAGGAGGAGAAAATACCACAAGGGAAGCCACTAAAGCATCATGTGTAGGAAAGATCCATCAGGATGGCACTCTGCTGGGCAGCTCCACAGGTTCTCCCCATCTGTGGTGCAGGGACACTCCTAGAGGACACATCGCACCAGGAGTCTCCCCTGGCTCACCTTCAACCCAGTTGGATCCTCTGCCACAGCGGTCTCACCAGGCCGAGACTCAAGTGATTCATGCAGCTCATCAATGGCTTTACTTATGATTTTCCATGTGGCATGAGGCCCATCTTGTTGCATGGGGCCTGTGTACGAATAAAGGTGTTATCTAAATGTTATCTAAAGGTGTCACAAGTGTTCCACCCTGGCTAATGCTGTGAACCAGCAATCCACGATTTGCCAGATAACACATCTGCATGGCCTACAAATTCTTGCCCATAGGGTTTCCTTCCCCATAGACTCTTCTATCCCCATTTTCCATTTGTTCATTTAACCACACACCTACTATAATAAAGGGCAAAATAATTAAAGTATAATAAAAAGATAACTTGTAGTATTTTGAGTACGCTTTTTAATTTTTGCCCAGTTTCGAAGCGGAAGCAGAGGAAAAGGTAATGTCATCATTATTTTAGGAAGAAAAGATCCTCAGGGTTGAGATACAAAGAAGGGAAGTCAGCAACAGGGAAGGCTGAGATTGTGGAAGTCCGTGGACGTTTAGATAGACGGGGAGAGAGCCCTTGATGTGTGTGTCACACACTGACTGCACTGTGCCAGGAGATACTGTGGTGCTGTTAGCTCACTCATCCTATAGGGAACACTATTCACGCCCCTACACTGCTTGCAATTTCAGGCATGAAGTATCCTGAAGGAGGTTTCTAGGCAGATGTCAATTAACCATTTCAAATGTTAAAGTATTTTTAAATGAAAAATCGCTTTGATGAAATGCTTTCTAAACATATTACTTACTTTCTTAACCTTAAGACTCTAATAAAATTTAGTTTTTGTCTAGTTGACTCAGTCACCACTATGATTACTGAATGATGCTGTAACAGCAATGTTCTCAGCCAGAACTGTCATGTTACTTAAGCACATTTTCTTTTCTTTTTAAAGGTGCTTTTAAAAAAATTATTTATTATTTTTATTATCTATCTATTGTGCGCATGTGTGCATGTGCAAAGTGGGGGCAGACTCCGCTGAGCATAGAGCCCAACACAGGGTTCAATCCCACAACCTGGAGATCGTGACCTGAGCCGAAATCAAGAGTCAGATGCTTAATCGACTGAGCCACCCAGGCACCCTGAAACAGGATTTTCTGTTCCTTTTTAAGCTAGCCTCAACTTCATCTGGCACCAAGTCCATTTCTTATCCCCTATTAATTACTGCTCTTCGACTTTCCCCCTTTCCTTCCTTTTTTGTTCCCTTGCTTCTCTCCTTTTCCCTTTCTGTATCTCTAGCAGTCCTCAGCTGGGAGAAAACTGGCCTTAGTGCTTCCAGTCATGCCAGCCAAGCTGACCAGTGAGCCCAGGTCCTGTCCCCTGATCGGCAAATCAGCCCATCCCAGCACATCTGTGAGGCTCTGCTGTGATCTTTATTTGCAATTACTTCTGAAACACAGTTTTCTGTAAAGTTAAGGATGGAAACAGTCATTTAAATAGGGTGTCACAGTTCTCAGTGGGTCTTTGGTCATCAGCTTGACTCATGTCGCTCCTCTGCTCTGCCTTAACACCTACACAGGGGTGCAAATGTGCCCGCTGGTCAGCCTACCTTATCGTGGTGTAAGCTTGAGCTTTCACTCATAAACATTTACACGATGACTGCTGTGTGCCAGCCATTGGTCTGATTGATGACAGCCTGTGAAAACGGTCAGTAAACGAGCCAACCACAGAAACTGAAACACTGTGCAAAGCTCAGCTGGGCATTTTTATTATAATGGCAATTTACTACTCCAGAATGGCTTCTCCCTTCACATGGGCACAGAGACATCTCCTAGGCAGTGTTTAACTTGTAGGTATAGCTATTCACACCAGGGCCAGGCCCTTGGATCTTACCTCCAGAGCACCAACTGGATTCCCCAGCAGCTACTGGGCAGACAGCCTTCAGTCCTTGAGAAACCAGAGGCTGGAGATCCTCACCCTGCAGGGGTTTGGGAGGCACCAGGTGAGGGGGGTCAGTGGTAGCTTTGGTGATGTTCTTCTGTTGCAGTACTTGAGTGTTACTCTTCTCATTAGTGTCTGCCCCAAAAAAAAAACAAAAACAAGGAAAGAATAGGCTACAATTCAGGACAGCAAAGAAGTTCTATGTGTGAGAGGAGGTCAAGAGAGGGTGGGGTCATCACCATTCCAACAAGCTGGAGACCTCAAGACCACAACACAGAACATTTCTTAAGTGATGGGGATAGAGTTGAGTCCACAGGAAATGAAGGAGGTTCTTAGAAATTACAAGTGCATTCTGAAAAGCTCAGAAGTGGATTATCAAATGGAAAGGTGGATGAATCAACAGATTCTTCATGGAAAGGGATTCTCGCACATCTCTTGTAAAGTTCCTGAAACCCCAAGTTCTGGGGCATAACCCATTTTACCTGGCTCTGGGGAGAGGGCAAGAGCACCAAGGGCTTCCTCCAACTCCTGAATTTGCTTGAGCAACTTCTGACCCTTGTCTGGAAGAGCCTGGATGTTCACCGATTTCAGAGTGCTCTGGAAAACAGATCCTGTAAGATGGTCTCTCAAGTTCTTAGAAAGACAGTGTCAGATTAAAGTAGCCTACAATGTGAAAACTCTGAAATTAGGCTCCTTTAAGTAAATGTGTGAAAACCAGGGTTTTTTGTTATTATTTTTTTTCTTAAATCCAGCTGATTTTCTAACCCCAAAAATATAAACATAGGAAAAGACAGAAACGAAAACCCACCTACAAAACTTTTCCCACGTTAACACACGTGACTAGCTTGTGGCCCATAGTTAACGATGTTCTGACCTTAAAAACAAAGCACACGGCAGGCCAGCAGTTACCTTCTTTTGCCTCAGTTGTGCTGTGAGGTACACATGCTGGGCTGCTTGGTCTGAAGGTTCTACCTTCTTGGAACCACCTGTGGCAGGAGGTGTTTCTCTCTGCATATCCTGACCAGGTAATGGCAGGCTCTCCTCCTGTGAGTTCAGGGTCAAGCCAAAGAACAAAGGAGGCTTAGAGGAAGTGAAAACATGACTGGAGGCCACTTCCAGCCTCTGTCCCAGGGAGCACTCCTTGGCTGGTGGCGCACACTGTGCGGCTGGTCCCCCGGGAGCAGGCCCATCCCAAGGCTCTGACTGCTGGTTGGTCTGAGAGCTGGGGTCGTCGCTTGCCTTTATTTCTCTTGCCTCCCAGCTCTTGGAGTGTTCTTTGCTGACATGTTCCCCTTTTGGGGGCTTGCTTACTGGGTTTTGACTGTGAATAATTCTAGGCAAAGGCTTGGCTTCCTTCTCCCTCAGAGGCTCTGATTTCTTTTCGACGTGATGACTCTCAATGTTTGATTTTTCCTGAAGAGACCCAGATGGTTTTCTCAGCTCCTCAACATGGCACTGCTTGGATTTCACCTCAGAAAGGTTTCTTTTGTGCATTCCTTTGTTCTCCTTCACTTCACGCTGCAACTCTGTTTTCTCCCGTCGCTGCTGCTCTTGAGGTGCTGGTTGTTTTTTCTTTACCTCCAGGCCAGATGAGAGATTTTTCTTCATACAGCAGTTGGGTTCAGGCTTCCGTTCCTCCTTTTGATCCAGGAGTAGGTCTCCCTTTTCCTTTTGCTTCTTATCCACCATCTTTTCCTCACCTTCACCTTTGGTGAACTGTTTCCAGAGAGATGGCTCTTGATTCTTGTCAAGTACCTTGAACGGGTTCCTCTGCTGGGTGGAAGAATGATGAAGTAGCTCAGAGGCACACTGAGACTTGGTTACAGAACGTTCTTTGGAATGAGGCTCCTAAAAGACAAAGAAAATAATCTTAATATAATAAGATTAATGCAAGCATCATATCAGAATGCCTTTTATCAGAGGAAATGGAAACAGTAGTCCAATACTTCTGAACATTCCCAAAACTATTTCTGCCACTCAGGAAGACTACGTGCCTAACTCACACAGTATTAGTTTCTGAAGAGTACTTTCAATGCTTGGTTCCTTCTCTGCCCATGACCACTGCTTTCACAGGCCTCAAGGACAAGTAGTGATCAAATCAAGTGTGTTTGCAGTTGTAAGAGCCATAATGGATACCTTTCACAAAAAACTAATGTCTCGAGAATTTATCCCCAAAATGTCCTATGCTTGCTTTGAGTTTGGCATTATGAAAGTTTCACTGTAGGAAACCAGAGTGACAAGTCTAAGCTCTGCCTCAACCAATGAAGGTCTTGTTGCTTCCCTGGCCCTAGCCCCCCATGTGCTGGTTATCTATCGGTCTCTTGCATTCTAGCTTACGAATGTCACCCCATTTGTAACAACACTGAGGAGACACCAGTGTCTAAAAAGATGAAGTTGGTCAAGTAAACCCAAATTTCTTCCTAAATAGAGCAGTGACTACATTTAAGACCTTGAAAAATATTTAAATGAAATAGGAGACAAACAATTAAATCTTCACTATAACCAAATAGTCCTTTGAATTAAGAGACCCTATAGGGTCTACCTTGCTTAAAGAAAAGAACTATCTTTCAGAGACAGTATGATGAAGACCAACCAGTTTATACTGGACTTCAAGGTCTTTTCAGGCAACACCAAAGATTAAACAGTCTTCACATAGGTTTGAAGACAGGAATAATTCCTACCTGCCATGGGATACTTCCGCACCACTGCTTCCCTGCTGCCTTACTTCTAATGCACTGGAAGAACAATCTAATGAAGTATAAAACACAAATAATCAAGGCTGTGGAAATCCATTAAAATGAGATAAATTTCTTTTTTATCCAAAAACATATCTTGCAACTATCTGACACTGGTTTTGAAAGGTCACTCAAAACCAATTACTCGGGATCCCTGGGTGGCGCAGCGGTTTGGCGCCTGCCTTTGGCCCAGGGCACGATCCTGGAGACCCCGGATCGAATCCCACGTCGGGCTCCCGGTGCATGGAGCCTGCTTCTCCTTCTGCCTATGTCTCTGCCTCTCTCTCTTTCTCTCTCTGTGACTATCATAAATAAATAAAAAAATTAAAAAAAAAAGAAAGAAAGAAAAAAAAAAAAACCAATTACTCTTATATTTCCACTTAAAAATTCTCTACTGCATGGGGTATTTATAAGGGCTAAGAAATGAAAGAAAAGAGGCGTCATGGAAGCCAAGATGCACACAGGTTTATTCTTTTTTACTCTGCAAAGAATAACTAAAATAGAAACATGATCAGCAGTGGCTGCTGAAATCAGAAAAAGAGAGATAAGTAGACATTATGTATCCCTGACAGGAAACCCCGATAGGACCTATACGGTAAAGCAAAACAAAACTAAGCCAAATCAAAACAAACAGAAACTAACCGGGATCAGGTCAAACCCCTAGATTCAATTACCAATTTATGGGAAATACAAACAACAGGAACAGACAGAGCTTGGCCACAGGGATGTGATCTGTAAAATCTTGACAGTGGGAAATGCTCTATGATGAACAACTGCCTTCCTTCAAAAAATAAATTACAAGGGAGGAAAAAAATGGAGAGAGAACTCAAGAGACTTCAAAGGCATTATCAATCAATTGCAACTGTGAACCTTAAAGATTTAAACAAATAAACAAAAACTATTAAAAAAATAAACTACTTATGGTATTGATGAAGCTACTGGAAATCTATACTCCAACTGGTTAAAAAGAAAGAGAGAATCCCTATCTCTTAGAGTCATACACTGAAACATTTACAGAAGAAGTGATGTTATCTGGGATCTGTTCCAAAATAAGGGAAGAGCTGGGGGATGGAGTGTGTAGAGTATATAGGGAATAAGATTGGCATGAACTGGTAACTGATGAAGCTCATAGGCTGCATTATTCTATCTTGTCTACTTGTATTTATTTGTAATTTTCCATTAAAAAAAAAAAAGACTGCATTCAGACATATATCCCAATACAAGACTGCCTGTCACTGCACCAGTAAACACAGCCTATACATTCACTATAAAGAAATGGCTACACTGGTCCATTTGCAAACAAAAACACGGATGCGCTCTCCAGCATCCCAGATTTTGCAGGTGTATCTTCCTTCATCCAAAGGATGTCCTCTTTATCCCTATTTGCCCACCACTTCCCCCATCACCAGTTGTCAAAATCCTACATGTCTTTCAACATCCAGTTCAAGCTATCCCTGCTTTGCAAGATTTTCAGACATTTCCTTCCCTGTTCATCCACTGCACTGTTTCTGTATTTCTGTTGTATTTGGCCGTATTATACTCGTATCTACCTGTCTGCTGACTATACTTTCAGCAACTAGAAGGCTATTACCATATATGGTCTCCTTATTCCCAACTATGCCTTGCCTTTTGTACATAATTGTTAAGTATTGTGGAATTCAATAGAGCAAGCTGATTTCTTCCTTACCCAAAATGATTCCTCAAACACATTTAATAATCAAAGAGCTTCCAATATCATTTTACTTGTTTCACTAGCTAATAAACTCAACCAAAAAGTATACAATGGCCATGAAAAGGACCCTCTCATGGTACCCTATCTGCCCAATTCCCATCTCTTCCAATACTCATGCCTATTAGCTTTGTTTACCTTTCCAGAGATTTTAAACTGTATATTCCAATCAATATAATGAATCTTAATTTCCTTTTCCACATATATGGATAGCATAGTATACATACTACTAAATACTTTGCTTTTTTAAACAGTCTTCAAGATTTTTCTAGAAAAAGATATAAAGGGTCTACATATATAAATATACACACACACACACACACACACACACATATATATATATATATACACATATATATATTTTTTCCTACAGCTACAGTTTCCCACTATTTAGAGTTCTATTATTTATCCAGAACACTCTTGAGAGACAATCTGGTTGTTTCCAATTCTGTGCTACTAACAATGCCACAATGAATCCTAATATATCTGTAGGGTAACTCCCTACTCCTCATATCAGGTATTAGGGCCTTCTTTGTTTTTCTTGGTCAATTACCTTCTGGATTTTATTTATTGCTGTTTTTGAACTCATTAAATTCCATTTTTACCTAAATGAATCCCTTCTTTCTCCATTCTTTCAGTTTAATTTCTGGCTCTTTTTCTAACTTCTCAAATATACAACATAAATCATGACAGTCTGAGTCCTAATTCAAAATCCCCTGACATCATTACCTCACCTGAACATATAATCAGATAAGCCTCAAATGAACAAGTGTTCCATAAAAGTCAAACTAAAAACAAATTGGTCCAGCTCCTCTCATATAGGCTCACAATTTCCCCCATTCTAGCTCACAAAAAAAAAAAAATTTACTGGTCTCTTTAGTTTGTCTCACTGCAAAAAGATATTAGATTGAACACGTGTTAATAAGATTTCTGAAAAGCTTCAAATGCGTAACAAATCAAAGTATTGGCAACTGTCGGGCAATACCACGACTTATCAAAGTGAATCAAGAATAAATTGCTAGGGATCCCTGGGTGGCACAGCGGTTTGGCGCCTGCCTTTGGCCCAGGGTGCGATCCTGGGGACCCGGCATCGAGTCCCATGTCGGGCTCCCGGTGCATGGAGCCTGCTTCTCCCTCTGCCTGTGTCTCTGCCTCTCTCTCTCACTGTGTGCCTATCATAAATAAAAAATAAAAAATAAAAATTAAAAAAAAGAATAAATTGCTGCTGTTGTTTCAAGTGTATCAAGTACTTAAAATCTTTACTGACAAAAACATTTCATAAATCATAACTATTAAAAAAGCCCAAGCCACTGCAGACTTTCCAAAGGGCAAGACCTGAAGACCAAGAAGGGAGAAAACAATATACCTACGATGCAACTACTAAGCATCTACTATGTTCTAGGCATGGTGCCAAAAATGCTTTTATTTGCATTTTTATTGAAACCAACCTGGGTGGGTTTCTCTGTTTTTAGGATATAAAGTCTGTTATGTTTATTAAATTGCAAATCAACAAAGGAAGCAATGGAAATATACTCAGAGAAAGCAAATATCGATTCCATTATGAAGAAGAGTGTAATTTCTGCACTATATTATTTTTCAGGACATAAGTAATAAACAATACTGATGAACACGGCTAGAGGAAGCTCGACCTCTTCAATGCTTCACCAGAAGGCATAACCTCCCTTCTTACTAAAGGCTGACCGTCCAATCCAGACTTAACAATGTCAGGCACATTCACATCAGCCAGGCTGGGATTCTCTGGGGTTCTAGAGTCATCCTCCCTTAGTTTGAATCCCAATCTTACTATAGAATTAGCTCTGAATCCTCAGGTACCTCATCTGACTGTGCCAGTTTCTTTTTCTGTAGAATGGCAAAAAAAAAAAAGTACCTACCTCCTATGATCACTGTGAAGACTACATGCATTAATACATGTAAAGAAGGTTCAGACTGAAGCATGACGCATATGAAAGGCTTGCTAAGCAATAGCAATCACTATTCCACTCTCTCTGACCATCCTTATTCCTATATCCACACTTCTGCTTACAGCCCCTAAATACTTCCTTACCTTTTATTGTATCCAAATTTTAAATGTCATTCAAGGCCAAGCTCATGTCTCAATTCCTACACTTTCTCAGTAACTTGCACCAGCATTAACCCCTTACTGTAGGCCTTACTATATCATAAAAACGCCTGCATTTGAACACATGCAATTTAGTGCTAATACATGCAGATCATGCTGGGCACCAGCCTTTGTGTGCCTGACTCTGATGTCAGTGGTGTCAAAGGCCCTGAGGAATGCAGGTTCACTTCTTGTTATATGCTCCAGCACTAGAAAAGCACAAGGCTGGATTTCTACCTCATTCTTTGACATTAAAACTCAAGAT